GTAGCCAGGCGTGGTGCTATAACCCCAGCACTAGGCGGCCGAGGCAAGACTGCTGTGTTTGAGGCCAGCCTGAATTACATAGTGAGAACTTGTCTAACAACAGCATCAACAAAGAAAAAACAGGCTCAGGAGATTTCAGATGGAAACAAGGACCCCACCAGCAGTTGGACTCCAGACCCTGTCTATTATGTTCTGGTAAAAAAAAAAAAAAGAACAATTTGTCTACGTTTTGCTCCTGTCCCGAGACTTTACAGGAGACTGAGATTAAGGGTAGTGCACGAATGGATCTAGAGGAGGAAATTTCATAGTAGCCCGTGGCTGGGTCTGTGGCACGGATACTGCTGGCAGCTTTTAGCCGAGTGTATGTTGAGAGTCAAGAGCAGCAGGTGGGCTGGGGTTATAGCTCAGCAGCATTGCCCCTGTCTGGCCAGTGCAAGGTCATGAGTTCAATTCCCAGTACCCAAAAACAAACAAGCAAAGAGCAAAGGGCACAGCTGAGTGGTTTCAGAAGCTGAGTTTCTCTAGAACAAAAAGCTCCTGTGAGGTTGGGACCTGAAAAGTTGGGTAGATGAGAGCTTGGTTGCTGAAAAGATCAGCATTGGGAAGGAGTCTGGGCCTCCGGAGCGTGGAGACACAGGGGTGCAGTCCCAGCGCTTGCATGCCAGGGCTGGGACAGGATCCCCTGGAAGTCTGAGGCCAGCCTGGGCTACTTAGTGCACATAAGGCCAGGTTGCACTGCGTGGTGAGACCCGCCTCCCACAGAAGTCCTGGGCTGTATGGTCTGAACTACACAGCGATTCTATCTCAAAAACAACAAAGAAAGAAGCCACCAAATACTTTACAATAGGACAATAGAAAAGGTGGCTTGAGGACATCGTAGGAACCAGCAAGAACCCACCCAACCTTCAAAGGCTCCAAGTTGCAAAAATGAAAGACATTGCTTTAAGAAGACAGCTGTCGCTTGGGCATGATGGCGCCGGTACTGCCAGCTCTCAAGTTCAAGAGGCTGAGGCGGGAGGATTGCCACAAATTCGAGTTAAAGTTCTCATCTCTAAAAAGACACCAAGGGAAAAAAAGAAAGCTCCAGGGCACCTGCTAGACAAGAACTCCAGCCTAGGGTATTGATTCCTAGGGGTTTGGTTCACAGTGCCACTAGCCAGCCAGACAACCCAGGGGCCCCTGGCCACTGCCACGCTGGTGGGAGGCCCTGGTGCCGGCCACATGGTGCTGGTTTTAGGCTTTGCCGTCAGATTTCAGGAGGCCTGGGGAGCCAGGCAGTGTGCCCCTGAGAGGGCCTTGTGTGAAGCGAGAGGTGCGAAGGAGAGCCCAGGAACGTGGGCTGTGTGGGGAAAGCCTCCAGGAGTGAGCAAGCCTGCCCAAGAGAGAAGCCAAGGGCTGCGCCACACCCTTGAGCTCACGTCGCGCCAGAGTGTGCCCTGTGTGCTGGCGGTGGGAGCGTTGGGTCTAAGGTTTGCCCTGCCACACTTCAGTCTTGCGTGGGTCCCACTGATTTCTCCCCCAGATCCCGTCCTTCCCTTTTTTTTTTACATTTATTTAGTGTGTGTGTGTGTGTGTGTGTGTGGCCAGCTCAGCCCACCAGAGGGCGGGGCTGGCTGGCATGTGGTGCTGGGGGATCGAACCGTGGTCCCTGTGCTTTGCCAGGCTTGTTCCAAGTAGGTGCTTTAGACCACTGAGCCATCTGTCCAGCCCCGCGTCCTTCCCTTTTGAAATGGGAGGGCTGGTCTGTGCTACTGTATGTCACCCGTGTTTAGCTTTTCTTTCTTTTTTTTTTTTTTTTTTTTTTTTTTTTTTTTTTTTTTTTTTTAGTGTTTAGTTTTTCTAAAATACTTATAAGGGTTCACAGCTAAGAGTTTGTCTGAAGTCTAAGGCAATTTTGGGCTTTTCAGCCTTGCTGAACTTTGGTGACTTGTTGAGGTGGACTAAATGCATTTTGCATGAGATGTGCAGGAGTCTTTTGGGGCCAGGGCCAGAATGTTATGGTTTGCACTTAGAAGACCCCCAAAGCCTCATGTGAGTATAGTGGGGCTTCTGGAAGGTGGTCGGATTCTAGCAGGCTTGTGGTGGGAGGGAGGGCCTCGCCCCTGGGGTGTGGCCTGGAAGGTGGCAGCCCTTGTCCCAGCCACCCTCCTCCTGCTCTGCTGCAGGGTCAAAGGTCACACGCCATGAGGAGTGACCACTCAGGCCCTCCCACTCTGTTTTCCCACCTTGGAATGGGCCAGCTGGACCAAGACCACAAGCACAGTGAGCCTGTCCTGTCGTTTGGCTGTATCTCAGCGGTGAGGAAAGGACCTATACGGAAAGTTTCTAGTCAGGTGGGGCCACACCTGTGACCCCAGCATTTGGGACACCGAGGCAGGAGGGTTGCAAACTTAAGGGTTTGTTCTTTCCGTTGCTGTTTTGTTAAGCTGTCTTAGTCCTCTACATTGCCATATGAAGCCTAGTTTTGCTTGTCGTTCTGTGTGGAAGGCCCCTTGGGTTCTGTTGGGTTCGGGTAGTCTTGCTGGTTGAGAACGGAGGGCTGGAGCCCTCGCCGTGACGGCGGCGCGTCTCCCGTCCTGTCCAGTCTTAACCCATATCGCCCGTTGGCCAGATCCTGCACTCTGCTGTCACAGCTGCGGTCAGCGATGACTGCGCGCCTCAGCATCCTGCTGCTCGAGAATTGGCTTTCACAGAGTGAATCTGGCTCCTGCACACCAACCAATGAACTCACTTACTAGATAAACTCACTTTCTTGTAGATTCTTGTTGTTTTTCCACATAGAAAATCAGGAAGTGCAGGCGCAGTTGACTCATTCCTCGCCTGTCTTCCTGCCTCTGGGTGTGTCATGCGTTATTGCCCAAGCTGCAGCCTACAGTGTGTCAGGGTCACAGTGGTCATGTCAGCGTGTCCTGTGGCTTCTGCTTCCTTGGGTGTTTGTACATCTGCCCTGAAGTCAGTGTTTCTGGAGCGAGGAGGTGGCTGGCCCTTGCAAGGCTCTGAACGCTCCCGCAGGCCTCCCGCACCCTGATCTGGTTCCTGGGGTGGGGGACACCAGCTTGAAGCTCCTCCAGTGACTACCACAGGTTGCCCGGTAAGAGTCAGCTGTGGGGGCCACCACCTGGCCCCAGGTGGGACCCTTCCTTCTTCCTCCTGCTGCATCCCATCTTAGTTGTGATACGGAGACCGAGATAGCACCTGAGCACAAAGCTGTGTCCCGTGGAGGCTGGCGGCCCGGCCTGCTGTGGCGCCTCTCCTGGCAGCGCACAGCTGGTCAGTCCCAGCCCCATGGCCTCACCCGGCCTGGGGTGCCCAGGGAGTTGTCTGGCAAGGAGGGACTCTGGTGTGGTTCTGCATCCTGTGCCCTCGTGGTGACTGCAGTGGCTCCTGCATGGTGGCTCGTGGAGCTCTGTGGAGTCCAGTGCATATCTAGTCGCCTCCTCATCTCTCCCTGGGACAGGGCTGGCACCCAGGGGATGTGTGAGTAGCACTGCTCACCCACGCTGCTGCTGCGACACAGGGCCTGCTGTCCCCTTCTCCCTCTCCTCTCCGCCATTGACCGGGCTCCCCAGTGTGCTGACCCAGGCCTTCCAGCTTCTTACTTGGAGCTGCTTCATTGATTATAGCTTCTCCCCAAATGCCATTCTTTTTTGTTGTGGTTTGGTTTCGTGGTACCAGGGATCACACTCAGGAGCTTGTAGTTAGCAGGCAGCCGCTTAGGCCGCTGAGCTCTCGCCCCAGCTCCTGCGATTTCCCCAGCCCCGATCTTCGTTATGTTTGTTTATTTATTTATTTAGACAGGGTTTTGCTCTGTAGGCCAAGCTGTCCTTGAAGTCTCAGCAGTTTGCCTGCTTCAGCCTCCCGAATGCTGGGATTACAGACATGCTTGCTTATTTATTTATTTTAAGGGAAACAAGCTTGTTTTATAGGTCACAGTTTGTAGCAGTTTCAGTCCGTAGTTGGCTGGCTCCCAGCAAGGCTGGGTGGCACAGCAGAGGAGGACTCGTCCGTGGCATGGTGGGCAGAAAGCCGCCAGCAGCAGCGCATTTTTATTTCCCCATCTTTATTATTATTATGTATTTAAGTCAGGGTCTGCGGGGTCTACAGGATCTCACTACATAGCTAGGACTTAATAATTCTCCTATTTTCGCCTCCTAAGTGCTGGGATTACAGGCGAACACCACCACACCCAGTCTCAATCGCTGTCTCAGCGTGGGGTGCCTGGCACGCCAGGGATTGAATCCTAGCCACTGTGCTCTGCGTAAGCAGGCGCTTTAATCCGCTGAGCTATTCGGCTGGCCCGCCCATCTTTATTTTTTGATGCATCAGGGCTGAGGAGATAGCTCAGCAGCGTAAGTGCCTGCCTGGCAAGCGCAAGGTCCTCAGTTCGACCCCTGGTACCACATGCCGTGCCAGCCCCAGAACTGTGCGTGGTGGTACATGAATGTAATCCCAGCACTAGGGAGGCTGAGACAGGAGGATCACTATGAGTCCAGACTGCATAGTGAGACCTTGTGACAAAGAAGAAAAAGAAGGCATCACTTTCCGTGACTTCTGCTTCTCTCAGGCTCATTTTATTCCTGTTGCAACTTTGAGCGAATGCTTGGCTCAGGACTGCTCGTGGTCTTCCGCTTTGTATTTTGCCTGCCCAGTTGGTGCTCTGTGCCCACCCACTAGGCCCCACGAGGGAGGGCGTCCTCATTTCCACCTGAGGCTTACTGTCTGACCCGTGTCCCGCTTGGGAGAAGGTTCCAGAACTCAGGTCGGGGTGATTTTCTTTGTTTGACTTTGGTCTGCCTGGCTTTGTGTGTCATAGACCAGTCTCGAGGCTCTGTGGCTTCCTCACTGGGACTTGCAGTCTTTTTTTTTTTTGAACACACAGCTGGTCTCCTGCCTCAGTCTCTCAAATTCTGGGATTCCTGGTATGCGCCACCATGCCCGGCCTGCAGTCCTCCCTGAGACTTGAATAGCGTAGCTGGTGCTCTCCACGGTGGCGCTGGGCCGACTGAGTCACACACATGCAGGCTCAGGAGGCCAGCGCAGGTCTGGCTTCCACTTTCTGGGCTGAAGCACTGGCAGAGGTGCATGTCCCCAGTGTGCCTTCTGCGCCACACCTGCCACCCCGCGGGCCTGTCCCAGCCTGGATGGCCGTGCACACCTCCCCCTTAGGTCTGTCCTTACTCTGACTTTTCGCTCTCTAGACTCATGCCAAAGCCCGGGGTGGAATCTGAGTGCTGCGCTTCCCTTTGGGGTGGGAACAGCTTGTTTGCCGAGCAGTTCGCTGGACTGAATTTTGGCTGTTTCCCCGGTCTGGTGGGTGTGTGGCTGGGGAGCTGCGGCGGTGGTCTATGCCCGACTGTTTTGTGGCGCTGATTTCTTTCTCTCGATACATCAAGGCGTCAGTGTCTCTAGTGGAGGTCCTCAGCCACCGCCTGTGGAAATGGAGCAGGAGAAGGTGAACGTGAGCAAGGAGCTGGGCCCGGACTCAGCCGCGTACGGCTGCCCTGCGTGCCGAGGGGAAGGGAGCTGGAGCTGCAGACACTCGGTCCGGGGCCGGGCCAAGGCCCGGAGCCTGTCGGCCTCGCCTGCCCTGGGCAGCACCAAGGAGTTCAGGTGGGCGCCGTTCGTCCCCATGTGTCCAGTCCGGAGGTGGGCTGGGTGCCATCTGCAGGGCCACGCCATGTCTGGGGCTCCTGTAGGAGTTGGAAGCTGTGTTTTATTTTGGAGGATAGGCTCACGCCATAGCCCAGGCTGGGCTTGTATTAATCCTGCTGCACCCTCCAGGGGCTGGTCCCGGCGTGCTGCCCCACGCCCCATGCCTTGGGCCAGCACAGACCCATCCACCTGAGCCCACACTGGCTCAGGGTGGGATCTGCTGAGGACAGAAGGATCCCTGTGCGTTTGGGGTGTGGGCTGGTGGTGGGCAAGAGCTCAGCCTGGCCCTGGGCTGCCCAGCTTCATGCACGGCCGTGCACCTGACACCTGACTGCCGGCTGGCCCCTCTTGCAGTTGCCCAGGGTCACCCATCAGTGGCCCTGGCCTCAGGAAAGTCACCTGACAGCATGTGGCTCTGATGGCTCTGGTGGCTCTCGGGGTGTCACTCTTGCCAATGGTGATGTTAAATGTGATGAGTGTCAGATGGAAACTTGCAGTGTTGCCTCCAGAACAAGTTATATTTGTAAAGTGGAAGAGGATTTTTGGTGAAAACAGTTTTGAAAAGCACGAGTTCCTGGCATTGAGGTACAGCTCAGCAGGAGCAAGGTCCAGTTTCTCAGGATGGTCACTGGACAATGGCTGCGTGCTAAAAATGACAGATGCCTGGAAGGAAGGGCTGGGAAAGCTGGCAGGAATTGATCAGTGTCTGAGGAGATGAGCTTTTAACTTGATTTAAGCTTTCTGCTGTGTCTGCGTGTGTCAGGTGTTCCTTAGACCCCAACAGTGTGCAGCTTTCATGTCGTTGTGAACCAGGGTGAGAAGCAAGGCTCCAGGGCAGTGGCGGTGAACCTCCAGAGCGTCAGCGGTGCCAGACAGAGCAGCCACGTTGCGAGGGGACCGAGGCCAACAGACGGCCACAGACGGGCGTCTCAGAGCCACCACCAGGCAGAGCTGGCCACCCTGTGTTCTCAGAACCCGAGGGACTCTTGGCTGCTGTGAAGATTCCCGCCAGCAAGGGCGGTGCAGCAGAGCCGCGTGGCCAGCACTGCGCCTGGTGCATGCCTCTGGAGCCTTGCCTGCTTGTGTCACTCTGACTCCTGGCAGAACTGTTTCCTCGGGTTTGGGGTTTTGTGTTTCTGTGGATTCTGCCACAGCACCACTTCTGCTCTCCAGGACACTGAGCCTGGGGGGTGTCTGAGGTCAGCGTGGTGGCCTGAGGGGTGGAGACGAGTGTGCCCTCACTGCTATTCCTGGCCCCAGGGCTTCAGTAGGAAGTTCTTCTTTTGTAACATTTTTCTCATGATGTGTGTGAGACTGGAGTTGATCTAGTGTGTGCTTGTCCAAGAAAGCCCACAGCCCCTGCATGATGTGACCTGGTGCTTGTGGCCCTACAACCCAGACTACACTCCAGCCCTCAAGAGCCCTCCAAGCTGGAGAGCCCTCTGGACACAGGGCAGGAGAGATGGCGCAGAGCCTGAGAGCAAGTGGGCTGGCAGATCCTTGGGTGCTGGCAGCGTGAGCCTCAGTGTGGCTTGCGGAGCTGTGAGCCAGCCGGGCCGTCCCAGAGCCACTGTGCCCCTGGCTGCAGGCCAGCTGCACAGCTCCACATCTGCAGCTGGCCGAGCCATTCGGCGGTTCTTGCAAAAGTTGGGCTGTAATCAGAGTGAACATTTCCTGGAGAATTTTAATCTGAATGATGTAGGAGTGATGTCCAAGGCCTCAGACAAACCGTGGGCACAAAGTCCTTCAACCACATTCTACAGGATGCAGGCTACCAGGCTGGGCCAGCAGCCCTTTGGTTTGGGGCTGGTGTTCTTTCGGTATATGTCCCATTGTGCATGGACACTGGGGAGCCCCTGAGCCAGGGAGGCTCTGTGGGAGTCAGAGCTGGTGCTGTTCCAGTCACCCTGCTCCCAGACCTACGTGTGTCATTGCCCCCATCCCTCACCTGACAGTAGCTCCGCTGTGCCCCACAGGAGGACGCGCTCTCTCCATGGGCCGTGCCCAGTGACCACGTTTGGACCAAAGGCCTGCGTGCTGCAGAACCCTCAGACCATCATGTAAGTGTCCTGGGGGTGGGCGGGGTGGGGTCTTGGAGGCTGAGTCACTGCTGCCAGGCACTCTGAGGCACTTTCCCCAGTCCCTCAGCTTTGGGGTGCTACGAGGGGACCATGCTGCAAGCTTCTCCAGCGGTTTGGGAAAATGGAGGGCAGATGACCTGCACCCTTGGCCACTAGGTGCCCAGGGTGGGGATCATGCCAAGTTCGTGGGCCTGGGTCTGGGCCTGCCAGCTGAGTGGCCCCGGTGAGAGATGGGGCTGCTCTGTTTCTGACCACAGGAACTGGGCTGGTACGGGACACGTGGGCTTCTCTCGGTTGTCCCCAGCACAGGCATTAGCTGGCCTGTTCTTACCTGTTTGAAAGGTGCTCCGCGCTCTTGGTTTTCATCTTGGTGTGCAGCACGCTCCTTCAGCCTTGATGGCACTGGGAGAGGAGCTGCGTCAGAGCCAGCGCTGGCGTCACTGACCACCTGTCTGGCCAGTGCTCTCTGCAGATCTGGGAGGATGACGGCTCGAGCGTCCCTTGTTGTACACGGTGGCGTGACATTGCTGGGATTTCATGGGGAATCCACTAAGATAATCTAGTGTTCCGGCTTCTGTTTGCAAATTTGGAATTCTCTCCCCGCCTCTGGCTGCACAGCTCCAGGGAGATCTGCACCATCCAGGTCCCCTGCGCACAAGCAGGTCACGTGACAGTGGCCCCCCTACAGCCCTTCTCAGGCACTGGTGTGCTGCTCACTGAACATGCTGGCCAGGTCAGGAGTGTGGGCAGCTCGCCCTGCATGCTGAAGGGCAGCATGGTGTGGCACACAGAGAACCTGCCGTGGAGGTGGTCCTGTGAGACTGGGCTGTGTTAGTAATTCACACGGGGCCTTTCGCACCCGTGGGTGCACGCATTGTGACTTGCAGGGACTGCTGCCCAGTGAGGCCAGCAGGGATGAGCCTGGACCTTGCTTCTTCATTTGTGTGTCCAAACCCAGCTCCCACAGTCACCCTGCCCCTGCCCCTGCCCCAGAGCCTCTGCAGCCCACCACCTCCTGGTGACTCTCCTCGCCCAACCACCAGCCGCCGACCACCTGCAGCTCACTTGCCTCCCACCCCGTTACCCTCAGCTCCTGTGGCTAGGCACAGGGTTACTGTCAGGCATAGGTCTCTGGCTCTTGGCTATGGCTGGGGCTAGGTGCTCCCGTGCCAGGTACAATGAAGCTCCCTAGCCATTCCTCGGCTGGCAGCCCGCATGTTCCCAGCCAAGAACCTCCCGCCCTCTCCCACATCAGTGTGTACCCTGGAGACAGAACTCTGATCCAGCCCTGTCCATTCCAACAGCCTGTGGCCAGGTGGGCTGTGTGTGGAGCTAACCCTCCGTTTACCCCAATACCCCCAAGAAAGAGGGGCGGGAGGATGAGCTGTAGGAATCTGACCCCGTGCTTCTGCTGGCTGGATGTGTGTCACTGCCATCACCTGTCAGGTCACATGGCTCCCGGGCTCCCTCACAGCTGTCCCCTGTGGGCTGGGGCCCTGGACCACACCACACCCACTTCCCTGTGTGCCTTGTGCAGGTGACCCAGCAGGAAGTTGAGGAACTGGTTTGTGGTGGGGCCTGGCCTGGTCTGTGTGGGAAGATGCTGAGGCCTGCAGAGCCCCAGGGCTGACAGAGTCTCTTCCTTGAGCAGCCAGGCTGGGCAGGCCCACCAGTGGCCGCCCACACTGCCTCCTGGAGGCCGCAGCCCAGGAGGGTTCAAGGAGTGCACACCTTTCACCTGACACCCTTTCACCTGGTGGCCCCAGGTTCCCTCCCATGGGTGGGCCTGCAGGTTCCAGTTCTGCAGGCCCCGCCGGGCAGCTGGAGTGGGGTGACTCTGCTCTCAGTTATCCTGGTATTTCTCTCTCTTCCTGTCTTATTAAGTAGGCAGTTGGGCAGAAGGGTCATGTGCACAGTAAGAAAACTGTTTTGATTTTCATAAGTAAGGACGTCAGCTTTTGTAAGACCTTTGACAAGCCTGATAAGCGTGCTTGCTTCTAGTCCGAGGGCGCAGGCTCCAGTGTAGATGCAGGATTGGGCGCACGCTGGCGGGGCAGGGCGGTGTGACCCTCTGGCCTCCTTTGTGGCGCGGCCGGGGTGTTGTAGCCGTGGCCTTCTCCTCAGAGTGGAGGCCGCCTTGGGAGCAGCGTGAGTGGCCAGACGAAGGGAGGCGGTGAGGGTGCCATGGGTGGCCCCTGGGCTCCCAAGAGAGCCTGGAAAGCGTGAGTGTGCCGTGTGTGGCCGGGCGGCGTGGCAGGGCAGGGCAGGCACTTGCTGCCGGCAGGCAGTGCTGCGGCAGCCTCTCGGCTTGGGCCAGGAAGAGCATGCTTTCTGCTGCTGGCGCCGTGCTCAAAGCGTGCCAGGGGCTGGGTCTGCGCAGAGTGAGGTCCTGGGACAGCGGCACAGGACAGGCACGGCTCATGGCTGAGCAGAGTGCTGTCCACATTCTGCAGGTGTCCTGGCACTCCAAGTAACAAGAATCCCAACTGGCTGGGCCCTGGCCTTGGGCGAAACACCCTACCGGCTGCTGGTGCCCGTGCACAGCTGCTCCTGGGTCTGAGGGGCCTGAGCAGGTGCAGTGCTTGTGACCCCACGGGCCTCAGAGACGGGAGGCTCGCACTTGCAGGACTGCTGCTCCCTCTTAAGCCTGGGGTTCCTACTGGAAAACTCAAGGCTCACCTAAGTTCCCACACTGGCTCTCAAGGTGGGGTTGTCTCCTCAGGCCCTGGGCCCGCAACCGTCCCCCTGGCCCTGGGCTGCCTGGCTTCTCCTCCAGGCTCTGAAGGGGTTCAGGCAGTATGGGATCGAAGGCGGGCGTGTGCAGGCCTGGAGGCAGGTATTGGGCACAGTGATTGGCGGTGCGGGCGGGGTCCCCCAAGTCTGTTGGCGCCAGACTGCAGGATGGCTGTTCGCATCGAGGATTTCCTCCTCCAAGTCAGAGCCCTTCCTCTAGGGAAGGAGGGCCATGGTGCCATCTGCCCTCCCTCTCGCAGGCACATCCAGGACCCTGCGAGCCAGCGGTTGACGTGGAACAAGTCCCCAAAGAGTGTGCTTGTCATCAAGAAGATTCGAGATGCCAGCCTGCTGCAGCCCTTCAAGGAGCTCTGTGTGTACCTCATGGAGGTGAGCTAGGCGTGCCCAGGCGGCGTGCAAGGCCTGGTTCTCAGTTCCTAGAGCAGGGCTCGGGACCTCTGACGGAACGCCACACGTGGGCACCGCATGGGGACAGGCGGGTGCATGCATCCTGAGATGACCTGCACGCCGCCTAGATGCCCCCTTTTAGAACCGTCTGACAGTTATAGTGATGTCAGCTTTGTGCCACCCTGCCAAACCTGGCAGCCACAAGCAAAAGGAAGGGGGTTCCCTTCAGTGCATTTTCTAGGGCTGCCTTCCTAGTCTGCAGCTCCAGAGCAGGAGCAGCGAGGTAGAGGGTGGGCTCCTCGCGCACAGCAGCCAGGAAGTATTGTGCGCAGACCGAAAGACGCCTGCCAGGAGCACGCACAGCAGCCAGCCCAGCACGTCCTGAAAACCCCTCCTGAGGGCACCAGGCAGGGGACCCTTCGGGTGGGCTTAGGAGGAGTGTGGGCCCTCAGGTGCAGGGCGCAGCTCCCTAGACTGAGGAAGTCTTAACTGAAAGGTGCCGTTTTGGCACCTGGCTCTGGAGATGACCCGGCTGACAGTTTTTCCTGCCACAGTCCTGTGGGGATGAGATGGCCCTCCTTGCTGACAGGGCACCAGGGCAAGAGACAGCACTGCGTCTTCTGGTCTCTCCTAAGGCCACCAGGGCCCACCCCTGGGCTCCTCCCCCGCCCACCTGTTCCAACGCCAGTGGCCCACACCAGCCTCTGGTGCTGGGGTGGCAGATCACATGGCAGCATGCCAGCCTTGGGGACCCACTTGAGGCTACAGGGTGCCGGCAGCCATGCTCAGCACCTCTGCCTACAGGAGAATGACATGATTGTGTACGTGGAGAAGAAGGTGCTGGAGGACCCTGCCATCGCGAGCGATGACAACTTTGGACCAGTAAAGAAGAAGTTCTGCACGTTCCGGGAAGGTAAGCCCCTCGCTGCCCAGGGTCAGTGCCCCGGGAGCTCTGGCTCCTCAACAACGCGCTGTTGGTTTCCCATATAGATTATGACGACATTTCCAACCAGATAGACTTCATCATCTGCCTGGGTGGGGACGGGACCCTGCTGTATGCCTCCTCTCTGTTCCAGGTGAGGCAGCCTGCTCTGGGCAGCAGGCGTACTTCCTTCCTGTTCTGTTCTCCACAGTCTCTCCTCTGAGACACCCTGGCCCTAGGGCTCCCAGTAGCTACTGCCCTCTGGGTCCTGGGACACCTCCACACCCAGGATCCTACTTCCAGTGTCCCAAGCCCAGAGCATCATCCCGTCAAGGCGCCTTGCACCTCTGGGCCCACTTGTCCCCCAAATTGCCCCTGTGTGTACACAGCCCCCACAGCCAAGTCTGCAGGGCGGTGCTCACCCGGGATCTGCTGCTGTGAAGAGCATGGGGCCTCCATGTGGCCACGCAGACCCCGGCTGACCATCCCCACCTGCAGGGCAGCGTGCCTCCTGTCATGGCCTTCCACCTGGGCTCCCTGGGCTTCCTGACCCCGTTCACCTTCGAGAGCTTCCAGTCACAGCTGACCCAGGTGATCAAAGGTGCGTTCGGGTTCAGAGCCCATGGTCCTGGTGTGGGCCTCTCTCTGCTTGCTCTGATTGGCATTTGTGACCACGTTGTTAACAATGTGTACGGCAGCTTTTTGCAAGTTTCAAGACTGAGGGCTATCTGCTGGCTGGGGTAGCTGTCATCCTAGCACTGGGGAGACAGGCAGGAGGATCACAAGTTCAGGGCCAGCCTGGGCTGCAGAGTGAGTTCAAGGCTAGTGAGCTCCTGTCTCAAAAGAAAAAATCAAAGACATGAAGGTATTTCTAAAGTCTTGGTTGCTTGACACCATCTCACCAACAGGAGGGCTGGGCTGGAGTGACCCTGGGGTGCAGCAAAGGCAGCCTAGTTCTCCTCACTGTTGGGAACAGCTTACGGAGTTGTGGGGCGGGGGCCCGGTGACTGAGGACCCACGGGGACCCATGCCTGTGCCCCACAACTCCCTCTGGCCTGCAGGGAATGCTGCTGTTGTGCTCCGGAGCCGGCTAAAGGTCAAGATAGTGAAGGAGCCCCGTGGCAAGAAGTTGGCGGAGCACAATGGACTCAGCGAGAACGGGCTCCCCCGGCCTCAGCTTGAGGGTGGGAAGCAGGCCCTGCAGTACCAGGTCTGCGTGCCCTGGGGGCCCACCTGTGCCCTCCCAGGACCTTCCCCACCACCCCCTCTGAGCGCTGTCCCCTCTAGGTCCTGAACGAGGTGGTGATTGACAGGGGCCCTTCCTCGTACCTGTCCAACGTGGATGTCTATCTGGATGGTCACCTCATCACCACTGTGCAGGGTGATGGTAAGGCCGGTGCTGCCTGGGCTGTGCGTCTGGCAGGCTGGGAGGAATGCCTCACGCCTGCCTCTTGCCCGTCAGGAGTGATCGTCTCCACCCCGACTGGCAGCACGGCGTATGCGGCTGCAGCCGGCGCCTCCATGATCCACCCCAACGTGCCAGCCATCATGATCACACCCATCTGCCCCCACTCGCTATCCTTCCGGCCCATCGTGGTCCCCGCAGGGGTAGAGCTGAAGGTCAGAGTCGGCCCCACTCCTCTTCCACTGCGTCACCGGGTGCCTGCCACAGACTGACCCATAGCCGCCAGCTCCACAGCACCCTGGGCGTGCCCTGCATGGTCAGCCTCGAGTTCCGCACATCTGTCCCAGTCCTGGGACCTAGTTGGCTGCCAGCTGCTTACAGGCTCCTCAGCTGCTGGGGGGTGGGGGTGGGCATGCAGGGCACAGGTGACAGGAAACCCCTGCCAGGCCTCCCAGCCCCTGAGCTCTCCGGGTCCTGGCGTGAGCGCTGGTAGACAGGGCCACCTCACTGCTGGGCGCCTGGCTCTTTCCCAAGTGCCCTCCCTGCCTGAGCCCGCCTTGTCCCCACTTGGCCCTTCAGATCATGCTCTCACCAGAAGCTAGGAACACTGCCTGGGTGTCGCTGGACGGGCGGAAGCGGCAGGAAATCCGCCACGGAGACAGGTGTGCTGAGCCAGGTGGCGGTGTGGGGTGGTGGAGGTCCCCAGGGTCTTGGGCAACAGGGCCAAGGGCCTCAGCGTCCCTACCTCCTGGTTCCCCCGCCCCTGGGCTGGCTGTGCGTATAGGCAGCCTTTGCGGGGCTGGCGGTAGCCGGGTGGGCCTTGGCCTTGCCCAGCCCACCTGGGCCCTGCTGCGATGGGTCAGGCGAGTGGGGGCGGGTGGCCTCCTGCAGGGCGGGGCAGGCTCACTGCCTCTGCTTCTCTGCAGCATCACCATCACTACCTCCTGCTACCCGCTCCCCTCCATCTGCGTCCGCAATCCCGTGAGTGACTGGTTTGAGAGCCTGGCACAGTGTCTGCACTGGAATGTGAGAAAGAAGCAAGCCCACTTCAAGGAGGAGGAGGAGGAGGAGGAGGTGGCGGCTGAGAAGCAGGAGCCAGAGCAGGAGGAGGGCTAGATACACCGCGTCTGCTGCTGGGGCAGGAGCACCACCGGCCTGGGTCCACCTTTTGCAATCAGATCAGCTTTTTAACATTTTTAAATTTGACTTTTTACATTTCTGAAGAAGCAAAGTGAGCATGGGCAGGGAGCCCCCCGAGCCAGCCAGGCCCTTTCCAGTCAGTCTGTTGAGTCCAGGCGCCAGGATGAATTGATCTGTCCCTTGAGGTCAAAATAAATGTCTCAGCCCCAAATCCTCCTTTAGTGGCAGTGCTCTCCCCTGGGCCTGTAACCTGTCCCCTCAACCCTTGGGGGCTCTGGCCTCGCTGTGGCCTGGCAGGGCCACTGGACCCCACATTTCCTTCCACCAGGCAGCAGTGGCGGTGGCAGCTCCTGGGGATGTCCTAAGTCCCGTGTGCCCTCCGTGGCGCTCTTTCACACCTGCTGAAGCGCTAAGTACATATTGTCTTGTACATGCTTTGTGAGGCAGGCAGGCGGGCCATTCCATCCTGGGTCCCTTTACCCTGTGTCCAGGAGGCAGCGCTTCAGGGGTGGGGCCCTGTGCAGACCCCGGGGCCAGCTGCGTGGGCCCTGGGGGCAACAGGAGGAGGAGGGGCCCTGTGCTTCCTTTGGGAGCGTCACACTGGTGAGCTCCCGGCCCACCCTGAGGTGCCCCTGCAGGCAGAGCCTGAGCACTTTGTTCTGCGGGGCTCCTTGCCAGGTGTGCGCCCAGCTACTCCGGCAGCTGGGGCAGGAGGAGCACAAGTTCAAGGCCTGCCCATGCCCATCAGTGAGACCCTGTCTCAAAATGAGAAAAGGGCTGGGGACGTGGCTCAGCGGTGACCGCTTGCCCAGCACTCAGGAGGCCCTGGGTCCCGCCTCCCAGCGTGGCATGAGGACCCAGTGGTTGGGCTGTCCTCAGGGCTCGTGTTCCTGGTGTAGACAGCAGGTGATGACCAAGCTGTCCTCATCAGCTCCTGGGCTGCATGAGAATACTTGGCCTTTTGAAGTAAATTCTTAATGTTTCATACTGTTAATATCTTGGAAATTTGTTAATTGTTGCTGAAAGCCTTATTACTATTTTCAGATCCTTTCAATAAACAGACTTGTAAAAAAAAAGTTGAAGGTCTGTTTTCTCAACTGCCCTCACTGGCTTGCACCCTCAGCTCTCCCTGGAGGGGGGGGTGTCTGGCCCCAGAAGAACCCTGCACAGGGCCCAGGAGCTGGGGCTGACCCTTCTAGAGCAGAGTCAGGCTCAGAGGCTAGGTTGCCCCACACCTCCTGAGCCACGGCTGTGGGGACAGTAACTACCACCTGCCACATAACTGGGGAGCTCTGAGTGCCACACACGTACACAAGCAAGGGATGCCAGGGTGACTCACGGTCATGCCCTCACTGCCACAGCCCACCAGGCCCCAGCACCACGGGGCCCAGTCTGCCTACTCCTGCCTTCAGCCTGGCTGGGCGCTGGCACCCTCAGTGACCACACGTGATGGCCAGTAGCACTACATCAGTGCCACCAGGACCTGGGCTGCTGCTGACTGCTTGGAGAGCGGATGGCTGATCACGTGTCCCCAGGCTTCCTATGGGTGGGAAGCAGAGTCACCCCAGACCTGACCCCATGTGGAGCCTGGTGCTGGGCCACTGACCTGGTCCCGCCCAGGGCCCACAACCCCTGAAAGTCCAGGACTCATGGCCAGCTGTGCAGAGGGCTGGGCTAGAGGGACCGCCAGGTCGGAGTCCACACCAGGATTCAGTCTAGTGAAATCGGTAGCACCCTTGACCTGCCCTTGGGGACACAGCTGTGGCTAGAGTCCCCACAGCTCATTGTCAGCATTGACTCACGAAACCTCTGGCCCGAAGCACCAGCAGTAGGGCCCCTGCACTGCCCCAAACTGGCCTGGCCTGGCGGGCCCTTCTCTGGCCAGGCTGAGGGGTGTGGTGGTGACCGAGGCCAGGCACCCAGGGAACAAGTCCAGCCACTTCCACCATATTCTGTCTCAGAAAGACTCAGGCCAGAGCTTAGGCAGCCTTCAGAGATGGGAAGTCCCTTGGGTAAACTGAGGCTGCCTTGTAGGAGCCTGTCTGGGACTGCTCCGAAGCCTCCACACCAGGGCAGAGGCCCCGAGAGGAATGCTTCTGCCCTCCAGAGTGAGGTCCACAGGGGCTCGGGGACCCACAGAGGAGAACATGGCTCATGCTGACAGCCCTGGCCTCCCTGGCCAGAAGATCCAGTGCCCATCTCTCCACAGAGGCACCAGGAGAGGTGACAGTGGGTAGAGACGGGGCACAGACAGACGTGGGGAGGCAGAAACGCAGACAAGACAGAGCAATGTGCAGGAAGACACACAGGCCACTTCCACTGTTCTTCCTGAACCCCGCACCTTCTCACTGCCTTACCTCCCTAACCCTTTTTATTTGTTTGGAGACAGGGTCTTGCTAAGTCCCTAAAATGCCCAGGCTGAGCGCTGCTTGTCATGCTGACTGCCACAGGGCTGGGATCCTAGGAGCGTTTCCCGGCCGAGGATCAGCTCTAAGTGTCCTCTGAGGTTTCCCGTTGAAGTGCAGTCCTCACTGTGAGTACACTGCTCGACAGGAGCCTCGCGATGAACAGGCTGAGAAAAGGCCATGAATCTGACGGGTGGGCAGGTGCGGTCCAGCAGCTTCAGGAGCAGGGTGGAAGCACAGGCTGCACCGCCCAAGGGCGGGAGGAGGCCACGACCACGGGCGGAGTCTGCACCTGATTGACCTCTGTCCCAAAACTGCTTTATCATCAGCCACAGGAAGTGGACACAGACCTGCCACTGCGCAGGGCGGCCCTGCCCCACCACCTAGGCTCTCTGTGGCCTCGGCTAGCCCAGGCAGGAGCTGGAGGTGGGGCGGTGGCCAGGCTGTCCTCTGCCTGGACGTTAGCAGTGGAGGGGACAAAAGCGTGTCCAGCCACCCAGGCCAGCCCCAACATGAGCAGTGCTCTAGGAAAGATGCCACAGGGGGAGCAGGGACAGTGGGGGGTGGCCATCAGGGAGGGTACTGCACACCCACCTGGGGCCAGCGGCGTTGCAAGCAGCTAAATTTGATAGAAATGTAGGTAGACCGGGCCTTGCTCCCAAGGACAGTATGGCCGACAAGGTGACCCTGCAGCCTTGCAACAGATAGATCTCAAGACTGAAGAGCAAGCGAAGGCAGCCACACGCTTCGCTAGGGATGGCATCAGAGATTGATATTCTAAGTAACTATCAGTCACCTTAAACAGCCCAAACGAGTCACTAACCCAACCCCAACAGGAAGAGGCCCTGTCCAGTATTCGTGCCCGCTTGCCACGTGACTCGCTTCCCCCTTTGGTCCTGGACTTCAGCAATTTTATCTGAGCAGTGGTGCTTGTAACCTGATTGGCTGACCATAGCTTTGTCCCACCTGATGCCACCCAAGTGAGTTCCCACAGGCTCCACCTTAGACCCGCCTCACCCCATGGTTTTACTCCATAGAAGTGAATACCCTGGGGTGGGGGTTCTGTTTCCCTCTCGGGCACAAGCTTTCTTTCCCCTTAACCTCCATTTGTTCCTAAATTCATTCTTCGGTTTTAGAGAACACGACCTTATCCGAGAGGTACCTCTCGTTTCACCTCCCCTATATCTACAGGGCCCAAGATTTGTGCCTCAGGAGTGCCGTGGGCAGAGGCCCTTTGGGACAGTGAGGACAGGAGGTTGTGGCCTGAGCTCTGAGCGTAAGACACGAGAGTGTGACCTGCTTCGGGGCCCGGCTCTGGGCTGCAGGACGGCCGCATCCACCTCTAGCTGGACCAGGATAGCCCTGTCCCCAGGGGTCCGGGCAGCCTCTGGGAAAGGCAGCTGCTGGGCCCTGGGGACAGAAGGACCTGAAGCGGGCAGGCCCTGGTGTGGGGATGCGGGTTCTCAGGCGGCAGAGCCGCTCCCTGTGCTGTCTACATTTCTTTTTTCTTTTTTTATTTTGCAGAACCCGGGATCGAACTCGGGCCCCCGCACTTGCCAGGCAAGCGCTTATTCTACTGAGCCATCTCTCCAGCCTGCTGTCTTCATTTCT